AAGGATTTTAATCAGAAAATGATATGATCAAATTTGTTTCGACAAACAGAATATCAAAACACATACTTAATAGCTAGATTTACTTTCTTCCAATGTAGATAAATTTTTAGTATGTTCTTAAAAGATCCCTCTTGTCTCATGGCCTTAACACAAATTGCAAGTTTTCTCTTTGTGCCACACAGTGTAGTTTGGTTCACTCTTGGTTTGGGAAGTCAAGTATAACAGATATATAACCATGTTAGCTCTCTAAATTGTATGAACAACTTCTTTGATTTGCTTATAAGTTTTCAGAGACTAATATTGCACAAGGGGTTTTAGACATGTGAAGAGATGTACTGGCTAGATATTTCAAGCATACTTCCCAAAAGAAGTAAGTTTATTGTTTGTCAAACTCCTGGATCATACCTTCCAATAGAACTTTTTTTTTAACTAAGCATGAACATGTATAATCAGAAAGAATATGTTCCTAACTAGGAACATTTCCCTTTAGATATACTTTGCCAAAATATTACTTACTTAGACAATCTGTTACATTGCGTGTAATCCTCGACTCTGCAGATGGTTGCACTTCCTTAATATTGCCTGTCTATAATTCTAAGAATACTATAGTACACTTCAGGGACTGTAGGTACTATACAAATTGAAGGTACTTTATAAACAACTTACTTTGGAGTTCTCCCAAAGGAAGTTATTAAAGTAATAATGGTATTGGAAGTAACAGGCTACCCTGAAGGTGAAATATTAATGGGATTTTCTGTCTAAATATTATATGTTTCCTCTCATTAGCTTCTTTCACTATACAAGACAGATAGGTCCCATAAGATAACAACTGAAAACATACACTGGCAATTAAAAAGTAGGTCATTGCTTTCCTTAATGAGAACAATTTCAATAGAATGATGGAAGACAGCCAGATTACACCTAGTTGAGAAATCAACAGTATGAAAATGAAGGTCAAAAAATGCAAACTACTCTTTGGAGAAATGTACATACAAAAGAGAAAGTAAATAGCAACTAAAGAGGAACTTTCTAGTTTTAGTTTTTATTACATGGGAGCAACTTGAATAGGCTTATAGCTGAAAGAAAGAAATTAAAAGAGAAGTAGAAATCCAACACAGAAAAAGGAGAAGTATAAATGATGATGCTAGGAGATAGAAATAAACAAAGCAGGTGTGGGTACCGGTAAATGGGTAGCCTTGAAGAAGTGCTAAGTTATTTTCTGAGGCACAAGGGGAGGAAATAAGGCTCCTATTTGGAAGAAAGGTACAGGAAAAAATTTCTTAGAGACATTAACTGTCCTAATGACCCAGGAGATATGGTTGGTTACAGAGGGTAGGATAGAATGGGGAAAAGGAAGATATATGGAGAATATGAAGGTTTGTAAAGGTTAAGAAAAGCAGATGATCACTGACAAGTAAATGACGGTATCACTAAATAAACGTATCACACACTCCCATATAATATTCTGAAATAAACTTTTAATCATTATTTAAATTTGAATCATTAAATTTTAATCATTATGTAAATCTTTATGACCATAAGCAAACGTTCCTCATTCAAGTTTTAAAGAGGAACTTTTGCTTATGGTCACATTGGTATAATAGTGACCAGATTTACCATCCTATCTAAAACAACAAAAAATAGAAACAATATATGAAATGATGGCTTTCAAGACATTTAACACAAAACATAGGAGAGTGATTCCTCAGAGTCAGGAAACAATTGAGATGAACCCTATGAGTGCCCCAGCTCATTTACCTTAAAGCACTTTATAGGATATGGCACAGAAAGGGGGAAAATACCCTTCCCTCTATCCTCTACCTTCCAGACAGCCAAACAGAAGCAACTAGAGTTCACACCAGAGAGAATAGAGCTACAGAGACAGGCAATTCCAGAGATCTGCAAAGGGTTCACCTTGGGTAGTCAGCAAAGCACTGACCAACGTTAAACTTCCAGAGTTTGGGGAAAAACTATGAAAAAGGTTTACAGGGAACATCCTATTACATTCACCTAAGACTGAGAATAGTGTCTATTCTCCAAAGCCAGGCTGGAAAACCTCATATTTCACCGGGTATTGAGGGGGTTAAGAAGAGTGCTGCCTCACAACTGGGAAATAAATAGCAGATTATTACTGCTTCGAATTTGCTAATAAATCTTAAAGCAAGACTCAGAAGAATCAAACTGTCTTTAAGTAATCTGATGGTATCAGTACCAGAGAAAAAAATATTTACAAGATGACAAAATTAATCAGCATCAAACAAGTTTAAGTTCATAATATCTAATATCCAAAAAATATTAGACATGTAAATAAGTAGAAAAATATCAGATCTGATGGAAAGAAAATTCAACCAAACAAAAACCAGAATTGACACAGAATTAGCAGGCAAGGACATTTCCATCCCAGTCTTACTCTATAGAGTTCAACTTACTTATTGTTTGTACAATTTACTTAGTTTACCTTCTATAATTTCTACTAAAAATGTTCTAAAACAATAAATAGTAAACAATATACGAGTATATAATGATTAAAGGCTTGAAATTTTCAAATACGCTAATAGATTTTTTTCTTTTTTACAGAAGCTTGCTCTGTTGCCCAGGCTGGAGTGCAGAGGCGCGATCTCTGCTCACTGCAGCCTCTAACTCCTGGGTTCAAGTGATTCCCCTGCCTCAGCCTCCCAAGTAGCTGAGACTATAGGCATGTGCCACAGCTAATTTTTTCATATTTTAGTAGAGATGGAGTTTCGCCATGTTGGACACAATGGTCTCGATCTCCTGACTTTGTGATCCGCCTGCCTTGGCGTCCCAAAGTGCTGGGATTAGAGGTGTGAGCCACCTTGCCTACAAAAATTGACTCCTGGCATTTTGATAAGGATTGTATTGAATCTATAGATCAACATGTGATGAGTTTATATTGTTGACGAAAATGCAAAATGTTACATCCATTTTGGAATATAGTACTGTAGTTTCTGTAAAGTTAAATGTTTATCAAATAACTGAGAAATTCCACTCTTACATATTTGCACAAGAGAATGAACACACAGGTCCACAAAAGACACATGTATGTAAATAATTGTAACTTTATTCATAATAATCCAACTTCTTTCCCAACCATAAAATGGATAAAAAATTGTGGTAAATATATATATATATACACACACACACACACACACACACACACACACACACATATATATATACACACACACACACACATATATATATATATATACACACACACACATATATATATGTTGTTGCATATATTGGTGGTCCATTTACTTTTAAATTGTTACATTGTATTCCATTGTGTGTGTGTATATATATATTGTATTCCATTGTGTGTATATATATATGGAATACACAGTGGAATACAATATATATATATTGTATTCCACATATACACACACACACACACACAATGGAATACAATGCAACAATTTAAAAGTAAATGGACCACCAATATATGCAACAACATGGCAGAATCTTAATTATGCTGATGATCAAACAACGTATACTATGTGATTCTACTTGTTGCCAAGACCCAGGGAGTGAAGGTAGCAGATAAACTGCAGAAGTATGTAACAAAAATTTGGGAATGATGAAAATGTTCTATACCTTTTTTTTCCCTTCATTTATATTTTCAATTATTTCAGCAAAAGGAAATGTTCTATATCTTAATTGTAATGATGGTTATATGAATGTAAACATGTCAAATTTCATAGAATTTTATGTTTAAAATTGGTGACGTTTACTGCATATATCTCAAAAAGCTGACCAAAAATAAAAACCTAATGCAAGAAAATAGACAATATTTAATCCCTTCCAAGATAAGCAGTGTAATTCACAAGTAAATGGAATAGGCCGGGTGCAGTGGCTCACACCTGTAATCCCAGCACTTTGGGAGCCCAAGGCGGGCGGATCATTTGAGGTCAGGAATTTGAGGCCAGCCTGACCAACATGGTGAAACCCCATCTCTGCTAAAAATACAAAAAAATTAGCCAAGTGTGGTGGCACATGCCTGCAGTCACAGCTACTAGGGAGGCTGAGGCAGGAGAACTGCTTGAACCCAGGAGGCGGAGGTTGCAGTGAGCTGCAATCACATCACTGCACTTCAGCCTGGGTGACAGAGTGAGACTTGTCTCAAAAAAAAAAAAAAAATCAAGTAAATGGAATAAATGAACCCGAATATACCATTAGCTTAAGTTCTATTTAGCTACAAATGAATGAAGACTTCTTTGTGGTTACCTTTTTACTACATACTTCATTAGAAATAAGTAGAGAGGCAAGCGGAATAGTTTATTCAAATCTGGGGGGGTCCCAGTGACTAAATAATATTTAGCATATAGTAAGTACTTCTAGCAAATGCTTGTGAATAAACATTTAAATAGAAATGAACTGTTAACCGTTTTTTAATCTTATCTACAGTATTTAGACAAACACATGCATAAGATATTAGCTGGTTTGCAAATTTCATTGTATAGACCCGCCATGCCATTATTTCATGATATAAAGAAATTAAGAAGTATTGTGAAACATATTTAAACGACCAACTTTTAAATCATGTGGTAGATATTTCATGTTTATTCATTAAATCTTCATTTTTAACATAAAGAACAATTTGCAAAGTCTCTGTATTTTTATATCTTTTAGTTATAAATTAATTCTAAAAGCATGAACTACATTCTTCAACATTAACTGCTTTACATACCCTACATAAGAAACAGACAGAATTTGATGTCTGAATAATAAGTAAGATATGACTAATTTTTCTGGAGAATTTTACTCTAAATACTAATTACAAAAATGTGTAAAAATTTTGCTTACTGATTTACTGTCTAAGAGATTTCGGAATAAACATCTAGACAAAATCACAAATAGCCAGGAGTTTTAAAATAGCAATAAAAATGTTTTGTAAACCAATCCAGCAAAGCTTCTTGACATCAAATGACAAAGTAACTAAAAACCTTGAAATTAATTTGCAAAATAAGCAGTAAACTTACAGTTTGTTGCCATATGAAACTGGGAAGAAAGTGCCTGAGTAACTGAATTCCAAAATGTGTAGAAAATTTCAGGTTGTCCCTCCTGTGAACAACAACAACAACAACAACAACAAAAGAATAAAAAAACTATTTCATTTATTTTAAGAAATTATAATGGGTAACATGCAAACTTAAAAATGTATTCAAAATTTAAATAAAATTTTTAGACATCTAATCATCAAATAATATAATTATTAATTACATGGAAATATATAGATGATTCAAATTATGTGTCATGTGCAAGTAATCAGTCATTATTCTGCTCTGCCACGTAATAGCTGACGTAACCTTGGGCAGGTTGGTAAGCCACTCACGGCCTTTGTTCTTCATATGTAAAATGGTGATAACATTGCAGGATAATTATGAGGATTAAACAAATTAATAAGTCTTGGGACAATGCCCGACATATAATAAACCCTCAATTAATGTTAGCTATTATTATTACAATTATTACTCTCCTCATTTTTTTGAAATACAGAAGGCCATTTGTGTGACTATGACAAAATGATAGATGAAAGCATGCTTAGATCAAGGATAACTAACAAAAAATAATTCATTATTACAAAAGAGCATGGCTAAAGTTTAGATATAGTTAAACTCATAGGAATTGCTACTACTCAGTTTAGTATACTTTTGTTCAACTTAGAATATAAGTTTTAAAAAGTAAGCACCATAAAGAAAAGTATTAATAAGAGTATCATTTGTTAAAGAAAGGCAAATAACTTTAACACTGTGAAAGCAGAATCACACTCTTAGAAATTTTGCCGAATACTTTAAGATACAACTACATGTGTGGTATACTATATAACATTGCTAATATTCTACTATTTTTTCAGCCAAAAATGCAACTTTACATGGTTCAAAGTAATATTATAAGGCTGGACACAGTGGCTCATGCCTGTAATCCCAGCACTTTGGAAGACTGAAGCAGGCGGATCGCCTAAGGTCAGGAGTTTGAGACCAGTCTGGCCGACATGGCGAAATCAAGTCTCTAATAAAAATATAAAAATTAGCCAGTGTGGCGGCACACATCTGTAATCCCAGCTAGTTGGGACACTGAGGCAGGAGAAACACTTGAACCTAGAAAGTGGAGGTTGAAGTGAGCCAAGAATGCACCACTGCACTTCAGCCTGGGTGACAGAGTAAGACTCCATTTAAAAAAAAAACAAAAAACAAAGTAAGAGTATAAATAAAATATCTCTAATGTTAAAACACTGCTATAATCCCAAAAATAAAATTATAATTTTAGATAAGTCAACAAAATAACCAATAAAAAATACTGATTTGTGACTTTTATACCTATGTACACTTCCAATTTCATTATTTGTTCTTTTTAAAATGAGTCTTATGGTTGTGAATTTCCTCAAGAGCTGTTTATCATAAAAAAGGCAAATCAAATCATTGCTCATTTCTTATGCAATGATCAGAAAATACATTCAGATTCCTAAGATTTTATGTATTATGTCTTGTGTATCTTAAAGTAGATGTTTTTCATCATGTTAAAGTATAATATACTAAATTAACAGAATGAAAGACTGAAACCACATGGTTGTCTCAATTAATGCAGAAAAAGCATTCAACAAAATTCAACACCATCTGATGATAAAAACACTCAACAAACTAGGACTGGAAGAAAATTACATCAACATAATAAAGGCCACATAAGAAAAATCCACAGCTAACATCCTCCTCCATGGTGTAAAACAGAAAGCTTTTCCTCTAAGATCAGGAATAAGGCCAGGATGCCCACTCTTACCACTTCTATACAATATAGTGCTAGCAGTCCTGCCAGAAGGATTAAGGAAGAAAAGGAAATAAAAAGCATCCAAACTGGAAGAAGTAAAATTATATCTATTTCTAGATGATATGATTTTGTATATAGAAAATCCTAAAGACTCCTCAAAAAGGCCTATTAAAATAATAACTGAATTCAGTGAAGTCATAGGCTACAAAATCAACAAATAAATATTAGTTGTGTTTCTATAAACTAACAAGTAACCAGAAGAAAATTACCCTATTTATAACAGTATCCAAAAGAATACTTAAGAATCAACTTATTCAAGAAGACAAAAAACTTGTACACTGAAAACTACACAATATTGTTCAAAGAAATTAAAGATGACACAACTAAATGAATAGCATCCTGTGTTATTAAGGTTTGGAAGACCCAATATTGCTAAAATGTCCACACTCTCCAAATGATCTGCAGATTCTCAAAATCTCAAAGGCATTTCTGCAGAAATAAAAAAAATACTAAAAATCACATAGAATCTCCAAGGATCCCAAATATGCAAATATCTTTCTTGTGGAAAAAACAACAAAGATAGAGGACTCAGATTTCCTTACTTAAAGGCATATTGCAGAGCCAGATGCAATGGAACATACCTGTAGTCTCCGCTATTTGGAGGATGAGGTGGGAGAATTGACTGAGCCTAGGTGTCTGCAGCCAGCCTGGGCAACAGAGGGAGATCCTATCTCTAAAAACCAAAATAAAACCCATCCAAATGGAAAAAAACATATTACCAAGCTTCAGTAATCAAAACAGTATGGCACCAGAATAAAGACAAGACATATAAATCAATGAAGTAGTGAGACAAAAAATAAACCATCAACAGGAGGCTGAGGCAGGAGAATTGCCTGAACCCAGGAGGCAGAGGTTGTGTTGAGCCGAGATCGCGCCATTGCACTCCAGCCTGGGTAACAAGAGCGAAACTCCGTCTCAAAAAATAAATAAATAAATAAATAAAATAAACCATCAAGTATACGATCATACAATCTTCAACAAGAGTGTCAAGGCTACACAACAGGAAAAGGATAGTCTCTTCAATAAATGTTGTTGGGAAAATTGGATATACACATGCAAAAGAATAAAGTTGAATCTCATACTATTTATGAAAAACTAATTCAAAATGGATTAAGGACCTAAACCTAAGACCTGAAATTATAACTCCTAGAAAAAACATAGGAAGAAAGGTCCATAACACTGGATTTGGCAATAATTCTTGTACAGGACTCCAAAAACACAGACAACAAAAGCAGAAATAGACAACTGAACTATATCTAACTTGAAAACTTCTGTGTTGCAAAGGAAACAATCAATACAGTGAAAAGGCGACCTACAGAATGGGGTAAACCATTTGCTAACCATATATCTAATAAGGAGTTAGTATTCAGAATATAAAAATAGCTGACATTTCAACAATTAAAAAATATATCATGATTTAAAAAACAGGCAAAGGACTTGAGTAGACACTTCTCCGAAGCAAACAAATAAATGCCTGGCCAACAGGTACATGAAAAGAGGCTCAATATCACTAATCATCATGGAAATGCAAATCAAAACCATACTGAGATGACATCTCACACCCATTAGGATGGCTACTACAGAAAAAACAGTAAATAACAGTGTCAGAGAGGATGTGGAGAAACTGGAAACTTTGTGTACTATTGGTAGAAATGTAAAATAATCTAACCACTATGCAAAACATTAGAGCAGCTGCTGAAAATTACTATATGATCCAGAAATTCCACTTCTGGGTATGTAAGCAAAAGAACTAAAAACAGGATCTTAAAGATTTATTTGAATACTAATGTTCAATGCAGCATTATTCACAAGAGCCGAGGTGGTAACAACCCAAATGTCTATCAGTGAATGAATGCATAAAGAAAATGTAGTATATTCAGTCACGCATTTCTGAATGATGGTAATGTACCTGAGAAATGTACCATTAGGCAATTCTGCTATTGTGCAAAAATCACAGAATGTACTTACAGAAACCTAGCTGGGATAACCTACTACATGCATAGGCTGTATGTTATACCTACAATCCTAGGCTACAAACTTGTACATGTTATTGTAACGAATACTACAGGTAAATGTAACACAATAACATGAAAAAGACACAACAACAAAAAAAGACACAGCAAATATATGGTTTTACAGTCTTATGAGACCACAGTTACATATGCAGACTGTCATTGACTGAAATGTTGTTACATGACGCATGACCGTACTTTAAATAGAACACTATTCAGTCTTAAAAAAGAAGGAAATTCTATCATATGCTACAACATGAATGAACGTTGAAGCTGTTACACTAAGTGAAATAACCCAGTCACAAAAAGATAAATGCTGCAAGATTCTACTTATATGAAGTATCTAAGTTAAACCCTTAGAAGCAGACATAATGGTAATTGCCAGGAGATGGGGAAGAAGAAAAATGAATTTGTTATTTCCCTTGCTTAAAAAAGTTATTCTAATACATATTTTAGGACAATTATCATACCCTGAGATTTTTCTCCCCGCCATAAAACTGTTAAGAAATTTCACTAGTTAAAACAACAGTAAGAATATTTTTAAGGAAACTTTTTGGTAACAAAAAAACAAATTTATTTCATTTTTATTAATTTATTATTATTACTATTATTATTTTAAGATGGAGTCTTGCTCTGTTGCCCAAGCTGGAGTACAGCGGTGCAATCTTGGCTCATTGCAACCTCTGCCTCCCAGGCTCAAGAGATTCTCCTGCCTCATCCTCCCAGATATCTGGGACTACAGGCACATACCACCACTGAAACACCAGCTTTTCCTACTTCTGAGCCTGCAGGCCTTTGGACTGGGACTACACCATTGGCTTTCCTTGCTCTCCATCTTGCCAACTACAGATCTACAGATTTAGGGACTTGACTCCATAATCCCATTAGCCAATTCCTTATTTTCTAAATACAAATATATAATATTTCCTAATGGTTTTGTTTCTCTGAAGAATCCTGATACCATAGTACAGTTGTTGAATAAATAAATCAATCAATCCCAAGGACTTGGCTAAAATTAAGAGCTAGAGGCAGCTACTAAAGACATATACTAAAAGAATACATAGTTGTTGGAATAAGAAAGGATGTGAGAAGTCCTTGGGAGAGATAAAGAGAGATAAAGTAGATTCAGAAGGAACTGGAAAGTAGAGAGGATAATAAATGGATTTGGGGATAAGATAGTATGTTATAAAAAATAACTGCTTTAACTGTATATCTATCTATATAGAT